TGCGGAACACTCGCAAACTAAGTTACTTGCAATCCAAGGTTTTAGTGTATATTTTCAAAATATCTGTTCTGGGGATTTTTTAAAAGTATATTTCTTTTATAACTAAAAGTTAATCTGAATTCTTTTCCCCTCCTGTTTTAGCTGATTTAACTTCCTTTATTGTAACGGTATTATAGCAGGAATATACTTTTTTTTTTTTTTTTGGAATATATATTTGACTCAGGCCCAAACCAGGATAGGGACAAATTGCCACAAAGCATTACTGTATTACCATTAAACCCCAGCAGCCCTACAATCAGAAAAAAACAAATTCATCCCCAAAACAACCTAAGTGTCCATTGATGGATGAATGGATAAAGAAAACGTGGTACATGTGTACAGTGGGATGTTACTCGGCCATAAAAAAAAAAAAAAGGATGAAATCTTACCATTTGCAACAACATGGATGGACCTAGAGGGTATTATGCTAAGTGAAATAAGTTAGACTGAGAAAGACAATTACCACATGATTTCACTTACATGTGGAATCTAAAAATGAAAATTGAACTCATAGATACAGAGAACAGGCTGGTGGTTTCCAGAGGTGGGGGAGGAAGGGTGGGCAAAATGGGTGAAGGGGGGACAAAAGGTATAAAGTTCCAGTTATAAAATAAATAGGTCCTGGGGATGTAATGTACAGCATAGTGACTATAGTTAGTACTGTATTGCATGTTTGAAAGTTGGTAAAAAAGTAGATCTTAAAAGTGATCACAAGAAAAAATTTTTTGTAACTGTGTGGTGATGGATGTTAACTAGACTTACTGTGGTGATCGTTTCATGATATCTACAAATATCGAATCATTATGAGGTATACCGGAAACTAGTATGTTATATGTCAATTATACCTCAATAAAAAAATTCATAATTCATCCTTCTGATTCCTCTTTGTTTAGTCTTTTATTATTTGGAGACTTAAGCTCTTTGCGGATTATAGTGTGTGGGCCAATGTGCATTTATAGCAGGAGTTGGTCGACATGGTTGGGGGTGAGAGGAACTGTACTAAAAAATGCTTCCCCACCCATTACTTGCATAACTGTCCTGCCCCAACCCTCACCCCCCAGCTCTTTGTTATCTGTGCTGTGTTCTTTAAAATTCGTTTTGTTCTTGCCTTCTGGGTGGACCTGATGGTGGTGGAAAGGAATAGTTTTCAAGATCACATATCTGTGGGGTTAATCAGTGCATGGTTTCGGCTTTTAATTTGCATGAGCAATAAATTTTCAGTAGGATTATAAGCACTCTGAAATCTGCCTACAAGCTAATCAGTGTTGAAGACACCAGCGTGACTCAGGTCCATAATGCTTTGAAAGGAAAAAGGGACTATGTTTATCTCTTCAGGAGATATATAACATATACACCTCTCAGGCTTATCTAAACCTCCAACTTGGGAGGAATTAGGGAATGTGTCATTTGGTATACCCATGATTGCAGAATAGCTAAGAAACCATAGCTCGATTTTAACCTGAAGAATTGCAGAGGGTTATGCATCTTTAAAAGCAAAATGTAGATTTTAATGCCTTACACAGTGCTGTGAGGCACTTAACAAAATGCAGATGAGCCCAGATTTTCATTTTTGGGAATCAGATTTATACCTAGCTCATTCTTTATGCAGTAAACATTTTTGTAGTGCAGCGTGCCATATACAGCCCAAACTGTACTCATGTAACAGCCTTTTTAGAATGAGATCTCTCATCACCAGCATTAGGGACAGGGCTGGGATGAGGGTGAGCCAAGAGAGACACTTAGGGTGCAAAATTTAAGGAGGTGTTCACTCATGGTGCCAACCGTGTACTTGCAAGACCTTGAAGGTGAGCGCCTTCTTAAATTTTGCACCCTAAGTGCTTTTCTTGCCTCGCCCTAGTCTCAGCCTGATCAGCATCCCTTGAAGGTATTTTTAAAAAGTGCATTGCTGGGTCAGATCCTCAGTTTACTAAATCTCTGTGGTTGGGGCCCAGGAATCTGCATTTTAACCTCTTAGTGTTTCGAATACACACAAGTTTGAGGACCCTCTGAGCTTGGTTGGCCCCACAGGACAAAAACTGCTCCACTAACCTCACATTACGACTGGGATAGTAGCTGAAAAATCCGCCTAATTAACCAGCACACAGGAGCAAATAGGCCAGCCGGACTGCACTACTTGCCAGCCCTGGCCCTTGTTTATATAACTGCTACCAGGTGTCACGCTGGAAGGCTTGGATCATGGTGCACTTGTAACCAAAGCTAAATGTGACTGATTATGTAATTTTGAGCCGTTCCAATTTTTTTAATTAAAAAATATTTTATAGGTTCATTATTAGCTCCATGTTCATTGTAAACCAATTTTTTCAAAAAAGTTTTGACTTTCTTTTGAGAATAAAATAGAAAGTATCCGTAACCGTATTACCCAGAGAGAACCATCATTAACATCTTAAGGTATCCTGTAAGCCCTGTTTTTGCTATAGAGTCAATTCCACTAAAATTCATCATGTGCCGTCGGGGAGAATGAGTGACAAAAGGAATGTTGGGGTGAGGAAATCTGTCTTACGAAATTAATTCCCATTTGAGTCCTGTGCAGTTATCTTTGCTGTGTATGTGTAGATCCTCTCATCATCATTAATCTCAGTATTTAAAAAAAAAAATTCACATGGCCAGGTTTATGTGTGGGTTTCTTATCTTATGACCCACTATCACAAAAATAGTGGGAACAGTGCCACTACACAGGAAAGTCACCATTAGGCTGTTCTTCCAGGTTTCTTCTTGTGACTGTAATCAAATTCCTTTGGCATCTGGGGGACTTGTTCCATTGAGGGGGGACTTTATCATTCAACAGCTCTTACTGTGTGTCCACCACAGGTCAGACCAGATCTGTTAGGGGTCAGAGGTACAACCAGTAAGGCATGGTTCCTGCCCTGAGAATATAACAGTCAGATGGAGGAGGCAGACCATGATATTGTGTGACTACTACAGGAATAGGGAGGAGAGGTCAGCCACCTTGGCTTGGGAGAGTTGAGGATGGCTTGGAAAAGGAGGTGACACTTGAATTCAGTCCAGAGAGACCCGCCGTATGGCGCCTGCAGTCGCCAGCCAATAGCACTCTCCTAAAGTTCCACTGTTTTTTTGTGTTATGTCCTACTTTCCAGTCCTATCACACAGTTGTCCATGATAATTAAATGAAACTTGCCAGATGGACGCTTTCGCAAGACGATGGCTCATTTTCTTGCTCTATTTGTGAAAATTGGCATTGGAGCCACACTCTCAAGGATACCCCTACCTTGAGATTGCTTTGGAGTGTCACTCTTTTGTCTGTAGTAGCCAAATAGCCACCCCATCAGCAGGGCCAGGTTGAGTGACAGGTGGGTGTGCCATGCATGTGGGCACTCTGATCCCTGCCAAGCCATTTTGCCTGCAAGGAGGTGAGGTGCTGAGAGGTTGTTCTACAAAGATGTCATTTTGATCGTGTTACCTTCCTGTTGAGGAAATGAGCTTCCTAAGCTTTTGATCTGTCAGTCTTTCCTTCTCACCACATATAGTTTTCCTATCAGTTGCAACATAATGTCAAATTCCCAGTTTATCAGATTAAAACACATACACAATTTCACACGATCTTAAAGAAGCAATTTTTAGATCATGGAAGAGAATTGTTAGAGTGGCAAATACAGTAAACTTAATTGGCAGCACACTTGATTAACCAAGGAGGGCGGGTACTCTGAATAGAAAAGAATAACTGAATCATTAAAAATAATTATGGCATTTATGGTTTCATTTCTGTTCATCGCTCTTAGTTTATCATTCATTTCTGTGACTCATTCTTGTGCTCCATCTCATTTAATTGTCACAACATCCCTATGAAATGAGTACTATCGTTATTCCCTTTTACATGAGGAAACTTGATGAAGGGCAGAGAACTGGGAAGTGTCCAGGCCGGTGTGCGGGTATGTCTGCACACACGTGGCTTCCCAAGTTTGATAGTCAGACTCGACACTCGATGTTGCACCAAGGATACAGGGGGACATTACTGTCCTTGGACCAAAGACGTTACTGTCCTTGCCATCAGATGTTTAGTTTAGCTTACTCGTTCTCAAAGGGTTAAAATCCTTCAAATCTATTACTAATAGAACTGATCATAAGTTCATCTTCCTTCCACTTTAGAAATAATCTCTAAAATTTGCAGTGCTTTAGGGTGCACTTGATTGAATATCCATTGATTATTGTAGTTACACAGAAATGTCAAATTAGAGCATTCTTGCTGATATGATTTTTCAGTGATTGTACTCAGGTTTAGATATATGTATGAATAAAACTCTCAGGCTGGTTTTCTCTTTCAATTTGCTGTCTGTATTTTGCATTTGAAATACAAATTTGGAGTTAAAACCCCACATTGTATTTTACTCTTATGTTTTGGCTTTTCTGTCACTAGAGTAGGTCACCTATTTATTTGTACCACTCCTTCACATCCTCCCCCCTCCCCAAACAAAAGGAAATTTCCTGAGAGAGAGGGGCTTCTCTTCTCCTGTAACTACTGCTATCTTCATCCATTTCAGTCCCCACAGTAACTTGAAATCCAATGTCAGGAATCCCGTCAACAGAATTTCCACCTTTAAAACAGTGTGGAATGCTAGTGTCTTGAAGAGAAGTGGGCTCTCAGATTCCTGCTCACAGGAAACGGAAACCCTTCCAGGTGGTCCTGCAACCTCTGCTTGTGCCATCCCCGGTACAGGGAGTTCTCGGAGACCCCCACGTCTGCAGGGTGGACAGTGCACTGGGGTGGGGCAGCTCTGCCTGTGAAAGCCTTTCCTGGCCTGACCCTCACATCCCCGCTGCTCCCTGTACCTTCCACTCACTGGCTCGGATTCTCCCCATGAATAACATGTTCCCTCAGGGTCATCTGCAGCTTCAAAAAGGCTCTAAGGATTCTAAGAGAGTGGAGTGAATCTTGGCAAGGTTTGCCAGAAGTCTGACATGTGGCCACTTCTCTTTTCCCGCAGCAAAACCAGAAATCCTGACTCGTGAGAGACTCATGAATGGCATGCTCCAATGTGTGGCTGCAGGATTCCCAGAGCCCACAATAGATTGGTATTTTTGTCCAGGAACTGAGCAGAGGTGAGATGATTATTTTAGGGACCACTTAACATGCAGAAAGGAAGGACTGCAATTCAGTTGAATTCAAATATGTTTTCAGATTTTTTTAAGCTTTGTTTTGATTATTATTTATTTTTCTATTCAATCGGCTTTTTAGAGGGCATAATTGCTATATTTTTCTTGGGAGACATTAATTTTGTTTGCTGAAACATGATTACTGAATGGCTTCTCTATTTTGGTGGTTATCTTTTTGGATTTATCATGCAATTTCTAGCCCGCAGGTAGATAAAGCAATTTTCCAGGACAGAGTAATTAGATTTCCATTCTATACACAGGAGGTAATGTGTGTAGGAAAGGTGGCTGTAGTTATGGAAAAAATTACCTCAGGAGTTAATTGCCAAGTTACCAAAAAGTAATGATCGTGCAGTTACAACGTATATACGGCATCTGTAAGCTACGGGTTTTAAAATGGTTTTCTCCTTGACTAGGTGCCCAGCCCCTGAGCAGAGCACATCTGGCATTGTGCCTCCTCTCCCTCAGAGTCCACACTTAAGCCTTAAATTGTCCTTTTATATTACCTGAAGATGAAAATGGGGTCAACGTTGCCGTTTTTATCCATCAAATGGTATTTTATGCTCAGGCTTTAAAAAAAGCCCGGTGTAACATCACAATTGAATAGTCAGGATAATAGTAGAAATTTTATTTTTCATTGAATAGACCTTTTTATCACAATAAGTTCGAAGAGCTTACATAGGATTGTTGTTTTCAGCTGAGTTTTAGCGGAACATTTTCTTTTGGGAATAGTAGGGAGGGTTTGAGACCCCTGGCACATATGCCCACAGCAGAAGCAACTCCAGTAGTTACAGTCAGACATTTAAAAAATACTTATGGAGTGCCAACTGTATGCCAGACGCTGGTCTAGTGAACAAAACACACCTGAGTTCCAGCTTTGTGAGTTTATATTTTAATGGGTGGAGATGGACAAAAGATGAAATACAACAACTAGCGTACACAGGTATTAAGTGCTAAGGGGGAAAACAAAGCAAGGTAAGGAATAGAAAACTGCTAGCCATATGCAGGGGTGTTGGGGAGAAGGGTCATTTAATGGGGTCACCAGGGTCTGGCTCCACATGGTCTTTGCCACCTAGAGTGCAACCTGGTGGGGCATCCTGTCCCTCCTTCCATAGAATCTGAGCCACAGGGTTTTGGGGGTTGCCCTGTGATCATCTCTGTTGAGACTTGAATACTTTTCCTCTTCCATGCTTTCCCTTTTCAACCCTTCATACACCCTTTCACAATTAGTTGATTTATCAGGGTCTACTGTGTGCCAGGAGACTTAAGTAATTTCTAACCCTTTAACTAACTCTCCAAGATGGGTATTACCATCCCACTTTTACAGCTGTAGGAACTGAGTCTTGGACAATTTAAGTAGCTTGTCACAAGTCAATGGAATAAGTGTTTGAGTCGGGAACAAACCCACATCTCACTCCAAAACCTCATCTCCCTCTTTGTTCTCTTCCACAGTGCTCTCCCTACTCACTGTGCCCCAGAAGTACTCATTCATCATCAGACACTCTTGGTTGCAAAAGGAAATATCTGATTATCAATCCCTAACTTAGTTTGAAAAGTTTGCTAAACCCTAGGGTGCTTGATAAATTTTCCTGAAGTAAGTCTGGGCTGTTGTTTTTTTCCCCCTAGATGTTCTGTTCCTGTTGGGCCGGTGGATGTGCAGATACAAAACTCATCTGTGTCGCCGTTTGGAAAACTAGTGGTTCAAAGTTCCATTGATTACAGTGCATTCAAGTTCAATGGCACGGTTGAGTGTAGGGCTTACAACGATGTGGGCAAGAGTTCTGCCTTTTTTAACTTTGCATTTAAAGGTAACAGCAAAGGTATATTTCTTTTTAATCCAATTTAAGGGGATGTTTAGGCTCTGCTACCATATCAATCATGATTTTAACTCCATTCCATCATTGGCCATATCATTTCTGGTAATTGCACTGTACTGTCATCAAACTCACTAAGTTTCATTCTGTACTAGTTTGTTAATAAAATGTATGCAACAATTTTGACCATGTATCCTATATATTATGCGTGTGTGTGCACATATGTATGTATGTATGCATGTGTGTGTGTGTATAAATATTTATATATATAAAATGAATTCTGTATTTCTAATTGTTTCTATTAAAAGGAGGTAGATAAGAAAAATGCAGGGGGGGGGACTATATTTACCTTATATCCAAACAGAATTTAGACAATTTAAAATTTTAAATTTGATTTAAAATTTCAGTTATTTAAAATCAACTATTTTAACACACTGCCAGACATTGTATCAGAAAGTTAACACTGCTCGTTATGAAGTCGTGTTAGTGAGCTGTTTCTTTAAAATCTTTGAAATTTGATTCATGAGTGACTAGCTCTCCTAACATAAGTTAAATGATCCTGTGGACACGTTGATGAATTGGTATGAAGTCAGAAGACAAAGAAACTGGGCACCTACATTCTTAGGGCTCAGTTTTTGTTTTCCTGAGTTGGCAAAGAGGAGTGCTAAAAAGTGGTATATTTTCAGTTTTTGAGTAATGAGGGGAAGACTCTTACATTGTTCATCATAGATTTTTTTTTCAGACAGCGCAATAAAAAGAACTCTTTTTAAAAATGTTTTTCTCAGTTGTGGAAGAAATTCATGCTCAATGTAGTAAATTTGGAAAATACAGGAAAGCATACAGGAGAAAATAGAAACCATCCGTAAAGGAAACTTCTTGAAGTTGCCCAAGTCAGGAATTTGGTTGAAGTACAAAGTTCATTCAGATGTTGCTTTTCAATGACACACAGCACAAAATTATTCCTGCGCTATAGAAATCGCAACTTCTCTCCCACAGGAGTCTGATTTAAATTTATTTTAAAAGATTAGTTTGACTAACATGAGTAAGATCATAACCATGGCAAGGAGCTGAGATGTATGTGGCTTTGACTCCTGCCATGGGCTCTGTGTGGGCTGTAAGATGTGAGCGGGGTGAGGTCGGGGCGAGGTGATTGTGGTGCGGACCTGACCCTGCTGACAGGTTGTGTGATTCCACGTTCCTCTTTTGTTTTAGAACAAATCCATGCCCACACGCTGTTCACGCCTTTGCTGATTGGTTTTGTGATTGCAGCAGGTCTGATGTGCATCATCGTGATGATTCTTACCTACAAATATTTACAGGTAACCATTCATTTGCTCTCTGCCCTGAGCGCTTGCTCTAATTGTTGAAACATTGATCATTAAAAGATGATGTATCTTTCCCTTTCTACCTCCACCAGAAACCCATGTATGAAGTACAGTGGAAGGTGGTGGAGGAGATCAATGGAAACAATTATGTTTACATAGACCCAACGCAACTTCCTTATGATCACAAATGGGAGTTTCCCAGAAACAGGCTGAGTTTTGGTCAGTATGAAACAGGGGCTTTCCGAAGAACCTTTAGGCGTCTGCATAACAATGATTTTAGGGAACTCCAATAGCTTCCTTTGTTTGATTCCACCTGTAACAATAAGTGTTTTCTGTGAAGCGTTACCCCCTTTGAGAGACATTATAGGGAAATGTACCTAGACAAATTTGTCCTTAATCCCCTTGTTGATTTTGAAATTACACAAATGGTCCTTTGGCCCCACCACTACCACTTGACTTTGTTGCCTTCCTTTCTACAGGGAAAACTTTGGGTGCTGGCGCCTTCGGGAAAGTTGTTGAGGCCACTGCTTATGGCTTAATTAAGTCGGATGCAGCCATGACTGTTGCTGTGAAGATGCTCAAACGTAAGTTTCTGCAGATTACTTTATGTGCTTAACATCGGTTTGCCAGATCTTTTTTTTTTTTTTTTGCTAAAATAAGATGTTTTTAATTTTAGCAAGTGCTCATTTAACGGAACGAGAAGCCCTCATGTCTGAACTCAAAGTCTTGAGTTACCTCGGTAATCATATGAATATTGTGAATCTTCTTGGAGCATGCACCGTTGGAGGTAAAGCCACGGCCAACTTGCCTTTTATTATGTCAAATTATCAAGAGGGGAGATTTTGATATGATTTTGACAGTGCTTGATTACAAGCTGCTTGCAAGATTTTTACCCAGGTTATTGTTACTTCTTGCTAGATTCCCCCCGACCCCTACACCAAACTATTGTTCTTATGAGTGTATGGGGTGGGACAGCCTAGGACATACCTTAGTGACTATCCTGTATGTCACATCAACAACATCGACCTCTGGAATATCTCAAGAATGTCTCATCTCGTCTTGAAAGCTTTTTATTTTATCTTGCAAGCTTTGTATTTTGCTGGATCATATTTATTCACTAAAGGGTTAATAATCATTTGTATACCATAATTAAGAATAGGCCTTTAAGCCCACCAGCTCTCAAATATACAGCAAACGAGGCAAACACTTCACATTTGTTAAAAATAAATTTCCAATTCTGAAGTCCTAGTCGAGCCTCCTATCAAGAATTTCTGTTTGCACAAAGCGTTTTGGTCTGAAGGAACAAAGCTGTGTGAAAGGAACTGTTCCTTGAGATCTGGAGAGCTCCGCGGTCAAGTTGACAACTTTGTATAATTTCTTAAAACAGTCCCCATAAGTGTTGCTTCACCACATCATGAATTGTTCATGAGAAAGCTCTGCCCAAGTTAATTAGCTGCCTGTTAACTTCAGAGCTGCAGTTCTGGGCATTTACAACACCATGAAAATTTTTGACTAGTGGTGCTCAGAACACAGGTGACACCTTTTCATAAACACAGGTGCTGTTCCATCACTTCAGGTTTTCACTCACTTTCTAGTCTTGTCTTAGCTGGGTGTTCCATGCAGTTGGTTTTCCTATTATCCTGCAGTGTGTGCCGTCATTCCTAAAGTAATGTTACCTACAGGGTATGAGCCCCACTGTATGTAAGAAGTGAATCAAAGCATTCATGTAGGAAGTTTGATAATAGTATAAGCAGCAGTCATGCCTGGCCCCTAATCACTCAAAAATTAGATAAAAAGGGGGCTTGCTTATTTAGTTTTACTCATGCAATGCTGCTTTTTGATAAGCAATGCTAATAGATAGGATTGTATTGGTACTCAGTAGGCTTAGCCTTTGAACCTGAATGTTAGCAGCTGGGATCCCCCTTGGGTATTTTTATGGGACGCAGGATTCGTCTATCAATCTCACCTCTTTCTAACCTTTTCTTATATGCTTGTAGGGCCCACCCTGGTCATTACAGAATATTGTTGCTATGGTGATCTTTTGAATTTTTTGAGGAGAAAACGTGATTCATTTATTTGCTCAAAGCAGGAAGATCACGCAGAAGCAGCCCTTTATAAGAACCTTCTGCAGTCAAAGGAGACTTCGTGGTAAGACTGATTTACATAAATAGTCAGTTGTTGACAGGCAGTTCTGGGGTCCTAAGGGTTTGCAGTCAAGGCTGACTGTTTCAAAAAAATGAACCGTGGTATTTTGAGGTGCAAAATCAGAATTATGAAATCATTTAAATGTGATTAACAGTTTAGAAAGTTCAAATAGTGTTTTTAAAGATTCAGGTAGTGTTAAACTTAGACTTTTGCTGAATTTTTAAATGCAGCTTTGATTTTTTTTTCTTCCTTAAGCTTTTGTTCTGTTCAACTGAATGAACCCTATACCTCTCTTATCATGGTTCTGCTGTTGCGTGTCATTCCACTTATACTGTGGAGCTTGGTACTATATGCATCTTTACAGTGAGACATTGTTTATAGGGAAAATGCAAAAGCCTGTCAAGTGGTCACAGTAAATTCCTTTAAAACCTGTAACAGAATGGTAAAAAGCTCTAACACGACTCTGCTTGTGGGTTTCTCACCATCCACCTCTGAATTATTTCTATATACCTTACCCTTTAAAAAACTCATTGTGTTATAAAAAGGCACAACTACTATAGCACATTTAAGGGAATTCTGCACCTTATTTTCATCTCTTTCATCATTGATGTCATTCAATTTAAATGATGTGTAAAGAGCTTCAAGTTCCTTTGAGGAGAATTAGTATAGTTTGCAATCAGAGTAGAATTCTTCTCTGCCACCCCTTGCCTGCTGATTCCAAATGCTGTTAAGATCTATCAATACCACTTAAGAAGAGGTCCTAGATTCACCCAGTCCAGCAGAAACCATGTTCCTTATGCCCAATCCCTTACCCTTTATATTTCTGCAGTTATCTGGTGGGTTTTTCCTTTTTATTCACTACCTCCCTTACATTCTGAGGTGACAAGATTGTCTTCTAGTCTCTTAACTCCAAGCCTTCAAGGAAACTTCAGTAAATATTGCTGATGGGCAGTTACCTCTGAAAGCCCTTGTTTGTACCACTGGCTAAAGTTTTAATCCCCAGGGAAAGCTTTTACATTTTTTTTTAATCCTGTAAACTTGAGCAGTGTCAAGCTGTAGTAACACAGTACCAACCACTGTTTGTTAGTTTCTCCAGAGCCTGTGTTCTTTTTATGAATAAATGAGCCACAATTTGCTTTCGGCCTCACATATATTTTTTAACTTTCTGAAATAATGGCCTAAATTGTTCAGTCCTGTGTGGTGTTCTTTGTGCTTTGGGATCCCATATGGGATTGGAACCATCCGCACACTCTGAAGGGGATTGTTGTCATGGTGTTTCTATGCTAATCAGAAGCAGGAAGTACTAGAAATCTTGAAGACTCTCCAGCCAAATGTTGCAGATTCAAGAGGTCCAGATGGTTCAGAAAATCATCCAAATTATTGGTGTTTATCTGAACCAAACTTGTTTTTTTTTCAAACCTTTTTCCATCAGTCGCTATATGTTAACGATCTCTGTCTTCTCCCCCATAACACATCTTAGAAGCTCTCGTTCTTTGTCTCTTTCATCTTGTCTTTTGGGGATACTTTAGAGAGTTTGAAGTAATGTGGGATAATGCTGTTTGGCTCTGTTTCCTATTAAACCTCTGGTGTCAAGAAATGGGAAATTTCTAACCTGAGTTCTGTCTGTGTGAACACAAAAAAAGAGCATCTAATTGCTGGGGATTGAACCCTAATATTAAATGTTAAAAATTCATCTCTTACTGAATAAGATGTTCTTCATTCAAACTTGGCAACACTTTCTTCGAATAAAATCAGCTTATTATGTTAAAAAGGGATGGGAATATAGAGCCTGCCTCATGGGTACTCCCTGCAATTCCCATGTTAGTCAATCATGATTTGATCAATGTTCCATCTCTCCCAGCAGTGATAGTACTAATGAGTACATGGACATGAAACCTGGAGTTTCTTATGTTGTACCAACCAAGACAGACAAAAGGAGATCTGTGAGAATAGGTGGGTATCTATCAAGTAATGAGATCAACTTTATTTGCAGAGGTTTTCTCATACCGCTATGGAATATAACACCATTCCTGGGAATGACTGGTTCTCCTTTACAAAAGGGTCCAATGGCAATGCCAGTTAATGGCCAATGGCGGTTAAGGGTTGCAAGAGGTGTACTTGGGGCTACAGCACGTGTAACTGTAGCTGAGCATCTGACCGCATCTATGAAAATAGGTGCATATTAAACATGTATGTTGCCTATCAAAATATATCAGGTACATATTTTGGATATCAAAAAAACAGGAGATTTTTGTGTTAATCCACTGTCATTCTCCCCTAAAGATTTTGTAATCTAGCCCAAGATTTTGAATATTAACTTCGTGATTCAGCACCTACCTGTTGCCAACATTTGGGGAAGTCATTTACCTGCAAGTTCACATCAGTTCATTCGTTACTAGCGTTATGGTTGTCACTGTTGTTTATTTTCCTCATTTTTAAGGTTTTAATTGCTGAGAAAATCTTTCTCCTCCTAACAGGCTCATATATAGAAAGAGATGTGACTCCTGCCATCATGGAAGATGACGAGTTGGCCCTGGACCTGGAAGACTTGTTGAGCTTTTCTTACCAGGTGGCAAAGGGCATGGCCTTCCTCGCCTCGAAGAATGTAAGTGGGAGTGGTTCTCAGAAGAGTCTTTTTTCCCCTTCCGAGTGGAGCAATTTAGAACCATAGATAGAATACAGAATGTCATTTTGAAGTGTGGTAACCAAAAGCAGAGGAAATATAGTTTCTTCATGCTCCAACTGCTGTCTCTTTGGAATTCCTATTCTCATTTATAAGCTTTAAAGTACAAGTCTCTCTAAATGAGCTTTCTATGAATTGTTTTTTATATGGAATGAATTTATTTAAACCTTTTGGCTTTCAGCATGTACAGAACTGCTCTTAGAAAACAGATAATTTATCAGCCAAGGGAGAGGGTGGCTCATATAGTTTCAGTGCTTGGTGAATGAAACACATATTTGGGTTTTATTGACGCTAGACTACTAATAATTGCATGTATGGTTTATGAAGTATTGGGGGAATAAAGGATCAGAGAGAATAATAAACATTTGGGAAAAGGATGGGGATAGGAGGAGAATGATGGAGCCAAAACAGGGAGCATGGTCCCTGGAAGAGTAAGAGGAATTCCCTAGGAAATGGGGTGAACAGAATAGGGATAAGGTCACAGATCCAACCCATAAGTGTCATTGGTGACATTTCCAAACAATTACCACACTAAGAGAGGGTATAGGATGGCTGAAATAAAAGGGCCTCTTCCCTTTGTCCTTGGAGATGTCAAATTGAAGTTGCAAAGACATTTTAGAAACTCTCTAAAAGGACATTCACAGAGAAGCATGCAAAATGAGTTTTTGCTGTAAAACAAAATGATATGACTCTTTATAATGTATTTTCCTATGAATGAAAGCAGTCCTAAGAAGAAAAAAAAAAGCATTTATTCGAGTTGGTTTTGAAAGTGATTATAGTAATTATGGTCCTAACGATGTGAAACACAAATTTTGAGCATCATTCAAGGCATAATTTAGATATTTATTTTTGGTGCACCGAATAGTTTAAATGTAAAGCAAAAGTATTGGGTCTGTATAACATAAGCAGCACTCTAGTATTAAACATAGTTTTCCCTCTTTGAAAGTTTAAAATAAATGTAAATGGTCTTGTTTTCTCCCTCTCTCTCATAATAGTGTATTCATAGAGACTTGGCAGCCAGAAATATCCTCCTTACTCATGGTCGAATCACAAAGATTTGTGATTTTGGTCTAGCCAGAGACATCAAGAATGATTCTAATTATGTGGTCAAAGGAAATGTGAGTACCCACTCTCTGCTTGACAGTCCAATGAAGGATTTTATTTTCAAGTTTTTATAAGAATTGTTTTTTTTTTATGATTTTCATAATGTAAACTCTACCTTTGAGATATCATGCATTTCAGCAGTCAAATTAAGTGTACGTCAGCAAAATTTGTGTGGTATGCTGAACATTACTACAACTAACATTCCAATAATAGAATTCCTAATTCTAATTGTGTAATTATGGGGCATGTGAAAGGAACAGAAATAGCCTTAATTTTCATTCTAGCTTGAGAATAGCAATGAACTCGATTTTGCTCCAGTGAAACAAATGTGGACCTGAAGGTCACAGCAGGAGACTTTTATTTCGAGATTGACATGCCATGTGAAAACGATTAAAATCTAAGATAGTGTTTAGAATTAGGTATATAGAACATTGGACCTTACAATCAATAGAGAGCTTATTAAGTAGGCTCATAAGTAATAATTGGTTTATAGCACATAGTGATTTTATTTCAAAGTGCTTTATTTCATTGCCAATTTTCACTGGGTCGTCAGAACAAACCCTTGGCATTAGAATGCAGTGTCTTCACATTTTAATTTGGAGAAACTAAGGCTCAGTGTATTTCAGTGATGTTTGTCTTGGATGACATGGGTCAGTAAAGGCTGAAACCAGAGTCCATGATTTCCAGAGCAGTGTCCCATTAGTATGGAAAGCCATGTAGTCCTGTATACACCGGGGATGCCAAAAAAATGGATACACAATGACTTGTATTCATCTTTTGTTATTGGTATATATTGAGTATTACAATTTTAATACAGTTTTTTTTTTTTCTTAAAATGTGTATACATTTTTCAGGCATCCTCTGTATATATTCTTCTACATCCATTTCTCCCAGGCCCATTTCTACAGTCCAAGTTTATGACTGGAGGTCTCTATGTCCCTTATGACAATGCAACATTTTCTCCTTCACCCCTATGGCATCTCTCTGGGTAAGCTGTAGTTAGTTGACGTGGGCTTGTAGAAAGGTTGCCAGGTTTACCTCCTTATCAAAGCATGCAATTCTAATAAATCTCCTCTCAGGCCAGATTTCATAATTAGGAGTATTAATAAAACCACGTTCTGTCCATCCTGGTGCACTATTGGAAGGTAGACTGTAAGGTGCTTCTTTATCCAGGCCTCCGAATCGTGACAAAAGGAAGAAGCTAGTGGCTTCTGAACCCAGTCTCGCCGAGTTTGAATCTGTGTAATATATGGCAAGAATTACACAATACCTCTGAACCTGGATTGTTCTTCTTGGGAATAATACGGTCAGCTGCCTTATAAAGTTGTTATGAGGATTAAGTCAATTATATAAAATGCTTACAACAGTGCCAGGCACATTGAGGCTAGTACTTATATGACTATTCTTTATAGATGCCTTATTTGAAATATAAATAATGATGACTGTGGTTTTGCTGCAGTCCCTTAATAGCTTGTTGTTGGTTAGTGACCTTGGTTGGAATTAACAAGGATGGGTCAGGTCCCACCAGGCTTCCAGATTGCGAACTCCAGCTCCAGCCAGTTGAACTACCCAATCACAGGTGTCACTTTCCTCAGGCTATTGAGTAACGAGAATTTATGGGACAAGTTAAAAGCAAGGAAACTCACACGACATGTTACCACCCCAAAATTTACGTCATAGTCCTTTGACACCTCCTCGTTGTGCCAGTTTCTCTGAAAGTTCTTCCATTTTACAGAGGTTCTTAGTCATTTTTGTGCCGTGACCCCTTTCATAGTCTGGCAAAGCTTATGGCTCTCTAGTCAGAACACTGTTTTAAATGCACAAAATAAAATAAGAGGTAAGATAACCAGGAAAAGCGGTTAAATTGAAATACAGCTTTCAAAATATTAAAAAATAAATTTGCGATATGTCAATACATGTGCGTTGTTACACAGAATAACATGTTCTAGCTGTGGGTCTAAAAACTATTAAATTTCAAAGTGGTGATGAATGCAAATATTAATATGAAGAAGGTCCCTGTGATTACTGTTGGGGACAGTCACAGGTACTGTTCAGACTACTCTGCTTTACTGCCTTCATTCATAATGTAAGGAAACACTAAACTTCACTTAGAAGTTAGTGAAAACAAGAATAAATTTTTCCCTTCCAAGTTCACAGCCACCTGAATTCAAAACCCCTGTAGATCTCAGGTTAAGAGCCCCTATAATAGGAGCTTTAGTACGAAATCTCGGGGGCAGCACATATACTGGAAGCCTTTTTTTCCCCCTATGCACTAAAATAACTTTAAGACTATAAAAAATTATCTTCCCAGTTCTCAATACAAAATGGATTAAGAGAAGGATTGGTTTAGTTTTCTATGGCGTATTAAGATCCAGGAATCCACAACAACTCTAGGAGGAATAGTCACGGAAAGTTTGGCTTGATTTTAGCGGAAACAGTTCAGGATGTGAACTTCAGCTGTAGAATTTAAGCCCTGAATCGGCGGCCACTGACCTCCTTGGAATGGTCATAATTATAAGGCACTACCATTTATTGAGTGCTTGTATCTGCCAGACAATTTTTCAGCTATTAGTGAGTCCGAAAGTACTGTGGTAAGCACTTTTACCCATACTACCTCATTTAACCGACAAAACGATGCATGAAATTTGAAATATTATTGTTTTACAGAAGAAGTTATAGAGGCTTAATTACAGATATTTAAGTGACTTTCCCAATGTGTTAATCGGGGACAGTTTTGGCTGCATATGATAGAAAACCCAAAATAAAAGAAAGAGAAGTACAGGAGTAGCAGGCCAGGGCTGGTACAGAGGCTTTGTGGGTGCTTATTGTGAGTACAAATCTTCCCACCTTTCCATTTTTTCACCATCCCTGGGTGTAGCCCTCATCTTCATGGTCCAAGATGGTCACTATGTAGCCAGACACCATAGTCAGAAGGCAGGATGGAGGAAAGGACAAGAAGGAAAAAAGCAAAGGGCACATGCCAGCCACATTCGAAGGAGGTTTTGCTAAGGTTGTCATACAACATGGAAACTTAGTGTCCAAAGCTCAGTCACATGACTAAACCTTCCTGCAAAGGAGCTGGGAAATGTAGTCCTTATTGTAGGGAGCTATGTTTCTATTAGGGGAGAACAGAGTCACTGGTAACTAACGAGTCTGAGTCACTCAAGGCCAGTGGTGGAGCCGGGATTAGAACCCATGTCTGTCTCTCTCTGGTGTCTGTGCTCTTAACCACCATGTTGTACGGGTCCAATATCGTCATCCTGAAAGTAGGGATAGTACACTTGTGAGCCACCTATTTCAGAGGTAGCTGGGGTTATCTCAGGACGTGATAGGTAAAAGGTTTTGTAAGATAGTGGTCAAGTTGTCACCCCTGCCTCTCAGCAGGAGCAATGTCTATAGGAATATTTCCTATTCAGTTTTTTGGATCTTCTTAATTAACATTGCTGAATCTGTTGTGCTTCCATTACAGGCTCGGCTACCTGTGAAGTGGATGGCACCTGAAAGCATTTTCAACTGTGTGTACACATTCGAAAGTGATGTCTGGTCCTATGGGATTTTCCTATGGGAGCTGTTCTCATTAGGTAAAATGACCCTTGCTAAAGACATCTTACTAGACTCAGAGCATCTTCTTAAGGTTTTATCTGTGTCCTGTTTGCTTGCAATTAAAACTGATTTGCAAACCATTTGTGCCTCAGGAAGCAGCCCATACCCTGGAATGCCAGTCGATTCTAAGTTCTACAAGATGATCAAGGAAGGTTTCCGAATGCTGAGCCCTGAGCATGCACCTGCCGACATGTAAGGGCCACGACATTTTTCCTTCAGATAATGTTTCCCTTTTTACTTTTTTTTTAAAAAAGATTTTATTGGGGAATTGGGAGAGGGGAACAGACAAATTGCTGTCCTTTTGTTTTTTAGTTGTGCAGGATGTCGCTTCACTGGCCCATGTTGGTATTATCATTGTGCTTTTCCTGGGTGAGGGAGATCTGTCGCTGGCCTCTGGACGGCAGCTCTTGGCAGCTCACTCTGGCTGTTGGCCTCTCACGCCGGCTGCCAGCCACTCACGGTAGCTTATGGCAGTCCACTGCAGCTTCACTGCAGCCTACGCCATCACCGGTGACTCACGGCAGCCCAGCTCCAGGTGGAGCTGTTGTTCACCATCTTAGCTGGAAAGGGCGCAGCGTCACTGACCCTCATGTGGGATCCGAACCGGGGCCCTTCTGCTCAGAGCTGGTGTCCCAAGCCAACTCTTAACAACGCGCCACGCGGCCGTCCCCCCTTTTTACTTTTTAAGACAGAAACCCAGATGATGAGGGTTTTCAACTAGCACAGTTTGAAACGTCACTTGGTTCCTTTTTAGGACATCCTGGTCAAATGTCATTTTTATAGTTTATTTTTATAATCTCTTGTCGCCAAATAGCCATGCAATTTCAGCAGTATTTCAGAGTATTGAATGCACATGCCGTTCAGTATGCCCAGCTGCCTACCGCTGGAATTATTTTTGAAATTATTGCATGGCACACATCTGAAGGAAGGTGAAGGGCATTGAGGAGTAACAGAAAACGGCTCTTGTTTTGCAGGTATGATATAATGATGACTTGCTGGGACGCTGATCCCCTAAAAAGGCCGACATTCAAGCAGATCGTTCAGCTTATTGAGAAGCAGATTTCAGACAGCACCAATCATGTGAGTACAGTCTGCCAGGCCTAGGATTCCTTCTCTTGGTTCCAGGTGTGTCTGTCTTCCTCCTCAGGCTCTGGGTGTGAGGACTGACCTCCCCACCTTTTCTCTCCTTGGCTTAGACTGCAAATTGGGCTTTGGGTGGGAAAGTAAAGTGAAGGGAACAAGTTCGTTTTGCCCAGCCTCCCTGTCCTGAGCCAAAGAAGGAAGTGAGATGAGAAGGGGAAAGAGTGGAGGACTTCGTACTCAGAAGTGTGGAAGTAGAAGCTTCCATGAGGACTTGCCACATTTCCTCCCCCACCCCAGATGCTGGTCATGGGGTCAGCAGGGCTCTCTCTCACATGTCAGGGCTATTCAGCCTTTGGAGCATTGGGATGATGTGAACTAGAATAAAAGCATAGAAAAGACAGCTTGTTACTGCAGTGAAATAAGCCTTCTGCTCAAACAAGCATAGCCCGAAAATGGCAGATAGCTGTCATGCCCACAAGCCATATAGAAGGAAGAACTGTTTGAAGTTGGGAGATTCCCCCCCAGTGATTTGGGGCGGAGGGAATTAAAAAACCAAATCTGTTATTTCTCCTGCTTTTAAGGGAGATAGTGATCCTTACTTTGACTTAGATTTTTTTTTAAGCTGCTTTTTTCCTGGATTGTGTGCTTGGAGCTATCTTTTCTAAGTGTATACCACTGATACTTTTGCGTTAAAGCTTGCTCTTTTGGGTGTCAAAGCATATTTCAAATTAAATAGAGTTTTTCACCCAAGTGTCGATTCTTAATGGAATATCTGTGGAAGAGCCACTGATTTCTCAGCAGATAACATTGACTGTTAGAGTGTTGTTGGCTACCGAGATTTATAACCCTTTTTAATAGGTTAGATCAGGTGTCGGCAAACTGTGGCTCGCAAGCCACCTGCAGCTCTTTGGGTACGTTCCGTCCCAAAAGTTTGCCGACCCCTGGGCTAGATTAATGCATGTTCCTAGACGTGTCCCATCAGAAAGACACATTTTTTTTTTTTGCTATCATTTCTTCCATAATCAGACCTTGGGAAAAACGAGGGGTAAAACAAAACTTGTATTTATTTTCAATATGATTTGGTTTGGGGCTGCACAGGTCTTTAAAACGTCTCTCTTTAAAAGTCTTCCTCAAATGACTTGTGGTTCTGAAGCTGCAGATGTGCCCCTTTGTTGCTGTGTTCATTGTGGGCGCTGGTGTATTGACTGTGGACTTGTTTCCCTCAGATTTATTCCAACTTAGCGAACTGGAGTCCCAACCAGGACCGCGCCGTGGTGGACCATTCTGTGCGGATCAATTCCGTGGGCAGTAGCGCTTCGTCCACCCAGCCCCTGCTTGTACATGAAGACGTCTGAAGCAAAATGCGTGTCTGGGGGTCTCCCCAACAGAATGATCCCCATTCTTTTGGTTTCTATGGTTATTTTGTTTGGTTTGACTTGCATCCCACTTCAGGGTAGTGAACTCCCTCTGTATTCCTCTGTATGAGCACACTTTAGTGGCCGATGATTGTTGTCATCAGCCCCCACCCCCTTACCAGGGTTCGAACTGCACATATTCCCTATAGCAGAGTACCTCCCATTAACTGGGGGGGAAAAAAAGTCTGACTTGGAGAAAGGGACGAACTTATACACCCTGACTCCTTTCTGAAGCTTCTCCAATTCCTTTTTGAAAAGTATGGTTGATAGTTTATTTGAATAAATGGCAGTAGTCACCTTTGGCCCTTGTCACCACCCATAATGAGATGATGGTGCAAAAAGATTAGAAGCTGCAACCTCAGCCCTTGATGTGGAAAATAGAACATTATTAGGACAAAGTTCAGAAGTCTATGAATATCCGGGCCTAAGAAATCTGGTATTTCATGCTGGGAATGAGATGTAGGCCATGAAATCTGCTCTCCGAGCATGAATGAAGACCCGGTGCTGTGGTGAGCCCATGTGCTACTGACCTGCTTTCTAACTAGCGTTGGCTCTTAGGGAGCTGAACTGAGAGAGGGCCTCCCCAGCCAGCATTTGTATATACTCATCTATCAATTGTACATGTCCATGTACCCGAGGGGAGAAAACCTACCAGCTGGCGTTTATGGATACAGCTCTGGCTCAAGTCTGCTGTGTGTAGGAATAGATGAGGAGCCAGACAAGTTTGAAGGACACAGTTAGTGCTTTTTTTTTTTTTAAGAAGAAGAACATAATTGTTAAGCACAATGTTGACAAAAACCTCCTTTTGTAGCCGATGAACTTGCTCTCTAGATTGTCTAGAACAAGCCTCCTGGCTTCAGAATGGCATTGTGCTGAATGGATCTGATGCCATTTGAAAAAGATTTACTGCATGACTCTGGCAGGAGTGAGGAAACAGTGCTGTCTTAGTTTGGATTCTTTTGTAGCAAGAAATAAATTTTAGACTCAGCCTCCTTTGCAGCAATGTCCTGGATGCCGGGCCAGTATCTGTATAAGTGTGTATGTGTACGCGTGTGTGTATGCTTGTAGACAAATATTTTTGAGGGTATTCTTGCCCTGAGCCCAAGAGGGTCCTTCAGTACCCAAGAAGTAGCTTGCCTTTCATCGTCAGATTGCGTCTATTTCCCTTCACCTAGCTGTCCTGAGAAGCTTAACAAAAGCTTACATAGAGGTATATAGGAAACGGAGTGCCTAAATATCTGTTTATTTGCAATCCACCTGCACTTATGGCACTCTTATTTATACTCAACATACTGTACCTGTTCCTTAGACCTTATTAATGCTACTCTCCCACTGAAACGTATTTAAATTTTACCCTTTAGGTTGTAGCCTGGATATTATTCTTAAGAGTTTACTTTTATTTTTTCTCATCACTGCCCAACTATAAGAAGTCCATGTGTACATGGCAAGGTTTGTGTGTTGTCTTGCAAGATTCAGGTATGCTGCCTTTACGGTTTTCCCCTCCTAGGTCCCTTAGATGATATTTAGAGAACTGTGGCCATTTATCTGGAAGTAACCATTTGCACTGGAGTTCTAAGCTCTCGCACCTTTCCAAAGGTAATAGTTTTGGGGTTTTGTTGTCAACGTAAGAGATTGTCGCTGTTTGCCATACTTTGTCTGAAAACTTCCTTTGCGTTTCTATTGACTTCGGTTATAGTAAGAAAAGTGCTTGTTAACCGTAGGTGTCTAGGTACTTCAGGGGCACTTCACTGAGAGTTTTGTCTTGGATATTCTTGAAAGTTTATATTTTTATAATTTTTTTTTTAACAGCAGATGTTTCGTTGCAGTGGCTTAATGTTTGAAATTATTTTTTGGCTTTTTTTGTAAATATTGAAATGTAGCAATAATGTCTTTTGAATATTCCCAAGCCCATGAGTCCTTGAAAATATTTTTTATATATACAGTAACTTTATGTGTAAATATGTAAGCGGTGCAAGTTTAAAGAATGTTGGTGTTCCATGTTTGTTTGTTTTTTTCCTGATATGTTGTCCAGTTGTTGACAGTTCTGAGGAATTCTAATAAAAATGTAAATATATAAATCAAATGGATTTTTTGATTATTTCAATTTTAGTGAAATTAAACTTAAATGTGTTACAGTACATTCACCTTTACATTAGAAAGTTTTATACCTAGTATGCATAGCACCCATGCAAGACTCAGATTACTAGGAGTTATATATTTGAAAATTCAACAGATATTTATTAAGAACTTGGTATGTGCTGTATTTTCTTATTTTATTCTTACAATTCAAGGTCTTCATTTAAATTAAAAAATAAATATAGCAGACATTTTGAGAAGTCTACACATTGCTTTGATCATTATTTGGTTGACTCATGTGAAATGACCATTTTTGTGGGCAAAATAATGGCCAAAATGCAGCAGTTTTATGTGGTTCAGTCCAATATAACTGGCATATTTCCTCCTAAAAGAGGCTGTCTAAAAATGAACAAAAACAGTAAAGTAATTCTCTAGGCTGACATGAGGCATCCCAAGAAAGTGGTTTGTATTCTTGTTGGCTTGGATTTTGAAGAGAGGTTTTTCATCGTGAGATGTTCACGCTCTGCCTATCAATCCTTATAGTCACTTGCTTCTGGAACAGTTAGGTTGTATCACTTGCTTGGGGAGAGGACACTTGTGCCTATTAGTTCAGGACTGTCTAATGGCCGCAGCATCCTTTATTATCAGGATGTACCATCTAGACCAGAGGATCCTGCGGTCTGACAGTTCTTTTGGTTGAAACAAATAAACATTCTGAACCACAGAATCTTACCAAGAATATGTTAGGCACACGAAACATCATCAGCCTTGATTTTCTTTCTTGACATGGCATCTATACCTACAGAAGTATCTCCTGAAAGGAAAGGGAAGGGTGAAAGGTGACTTGTAATGAAGAGGAATCCTTGTAAAAACAGGAGGGAATTGTGTGGCCAGGAACACGTCAATCAGCAGCGAAAAATAGACGTTTCAGTCAGGTCGTTTCCACTGTTTCATTACAGAAAGGAGTGAATGCTAATTGACCACAAGACAAGCCCTTTCAAGGTCATTTGGACTTTTCCATGTGTATAAAATCGTAGGTTAGAAGCAGTCTAACTTATTAGTCTGTAGCTATGTCCCTCACTGGCCCAGCTTTTAATAGCAAAGTGTAGAATCGGGTGCTTGGTGTTCATGGCTCAAACTGGGTTCAGATCTTGGTGCCAGCCCTAGACTGGTGCCAGCAAGTCTACCACTTGCTGCTGTTTGACATTGGGCAGATAAGCTCTTGAAATCTGTTCCCATAACAGTGTTTCATGCACGCATATGAAGCTGTCAAGACCACCTCATTAGAACACATAATACATAAACAGTGCTCAAAAATGGTAACTTTTGTCATGGCTAATTAGTCTGATTAGGAAGGACGAGGGTCCTGTACCAGCATCACTCAGCTATTACCCCATATAGAATTTATACAGTCAAAAATTGGCTTCTAGTTGTCTTTCTCTTAAATGCAAATGATACTGTACTAGTTTGCTGTGAAACTTGACTTTGCTATAGAGATATCTGTGTTTTATTAAAATCCCCACTTTTTAGCTAGGAATTCAAGGTTCTCTGTTCTTGTTCCAGCCTTCTGGGCTTTTCTCCCATTACTATAGGCCCATGAATATGCCCCACTCTCTTCTGATTCCATCTTCAGACTTCAGATATCTGTTCTCTCCCAACAAGCTCCCACCTTTCAAGACCAGGGAAAGCGGGCCTCGGAATTTCGATGACGCTGCATACTTCTTACTGCTCTTACACTATTCTGCCGTCTAATGTAATCATCATTTTGGCTCTGATCTTATCTCTGCCCCATCCCAACTATATCCAGACTTAAAATCAGTGTGCTAGGGCCATTGTTTTCATTAGTTCTCATTTCCTTGTTACAATATTTAATTATCTAGACACTCGGAGTTGAAATTGCTCGGAGGTTGCAAGAGGTTAAGACTTGCCTAAGTTCACCTAGGAAGACATGGAGCCAGCGTCTGCACAAAGATCTGAGTCTCTGTACTTCAATAATGGCAAAGATGTGGACTTCCCATGCTGGGCTCTCCGGTGCCATGTCTGTGCAGACATCACTCACTTCATAGCACTCTGTCCCATGGAACCTGGATGACTTAGAAGTCTGAACCTGTAGGAAGCCCAGAGAAATCAACTGCAGTTAGTCTAGGGACAAACTTACCTGTCACCTTTAAATGATTACCAAGTTTCAATTTTCTTGAGGCACAGGTGTTCTCTATCTCAGATGCTCCTGAGGCTGCTAGCATAGTGCTTCATGCATGGTTAATTAATACCCTTCGAATGAATAATTAAACATTCCATCAGCATGGAGTAAGGGGAAGCCATCTGGGAGGAAATGGGTCCAGAAAAGACAGGAAATAGATGAAAATACTTTCCCCCAGAGTGAGACCTAGGAAGGCAGCTTCCTTTCACATTAGGGGTGTGGCTTTGGGGAGAAAGGGGAACTAGGAACTTTTCCTTTGGGCAGCCTTACCAAGCCCTGCACAGCTGCTTTGTGGGAACAAGAAGCAGAGAAGTAGAGAAAAGGGACTTGGGTGCATGGGAAAGGGTGGAGAGGAAGGGAAAGTGGCAGAAATCTTCCTTATTTAGATGGTGGGGGGAGGGGCTGAAGTTACAAGAAGACCCTAGGCTGGAAGTACAGAAGCAGAAGACTGAGGAGACCACCCCTCCCCCATGCTTGACCCTGGGAGAGGGTCATGAGGGCCAGTGACTGCATGGGAAAACGCCCCCACCCCCACCCCAGAGGGGTCCTGGGACAAGCTGGGCTATTGGGAAGTACCAGCTGGGCAGCCTTTGAGTGATTTTTTTTGTAAACTAAAGCATATCAGTTTGCTAGGGCTGCCATATGAAAGGACCACAAAATGAGTGCCTTAAAAAAGTTTTATTGTCCCAGAGTTCTGGAGTCTAGAAGCAGTGCAAGACCAGGTTGTTGGCACGGTGGGTTCCTTCCGAGGGTTTGTGAGAGAAACTTCCTCGCCTCTCTCCTAGCTTCTGGTGGTTTTCTGGTCATCTTTGGGGTTCTTTGGCTTGTAGATCTCTGCCTTCTTCACAGGGTGTTTTTCCTCAGTGTCTACGCCTGTGTCCAAAATCTCTTTTTATAAGAACTGTTGTATTGGATTAGGGGCCCACCCTATTCTAGTATGACTTCATCTTACATCTGCAATGACCTTATGTCCAAATAAGCTCACATTCTGAAGTACTGGGGATTACAGTTATGACTTCAACATATGAATTTAATGGGACACCATTCAACCTATAATAGAAAGGTATCAAAAACCCTCTGTATCGTAGCAGGTGAGCTGGTCCTCACTAGAGCTCTGAAATTGGCTCTCTAAAAACTCAAAAAAAAAAAAGAAAGAAAAATCTCCAAAGTGCCAAATTCAGAGCACTCTTTTCAATGATCCTGTTATCTAAAACTGTCTAGAACCGTACCTGGTGTGTTGCAGACACTTACTGAAGTAGACATACTTACTGACAGAAGGAAACTTGACGCAGTGGGGCACCCCTTCTCCTTGGACCTTGCCTCCTTGCCTGCCCCCCTTACTCTTCTCTCGGTTTCCCTCCATTACCCCTTCAGAGGTCAGAATTCCAGAGTCGGGTCCTTTATTATCTACTTTCATTTAACATGCTCCCACCAAGCTCTGGTTTATCTCCTCTAATCCCTGGGATGTGGCTGTCACCTACCAACTGACAATTTCCAACCATGTCTCTGACAATTCTTCCCTTGTATAGACTCGGGTTGCCAGATAAAATAGAGGACACCAAGGTAAATGCCCCATGCAGTAGCTGGGATATACAGATACTAAAAATGTATTTATTGGTTATCTGACATTCAGATTTAACTGGGTGTCCTGTAATAATCCTTCTCTAGATTTTGGGCCTCTTGAAGTTAGGGACTGTTGCTAATTATTGACTATTCATGGTCTAGCACGTGGAAGAAATGTAGTTTCAGTGATTGTAAACAATGGAGGAGAAACTTTATTTTAGTGACAATCTATAGGTGGCAAATCTTACTTTTTGCTGTTATTTTACCTTCGTTCTTGAAAAAATACTTTCACAGGATATAGAACTCAAGGCTGTCGATTATATTTTCCAACACATTTATTTCCACGCTTCTCGTTTTCATCAGTGGTATTGAGGAAAAGAACCAGTCTGTTCTTTTGAAGATAGTTATCTATCTTTATTTTCTTTATTGCGTCTAACATTTTCTCTTTTTTTTTTAAAGATTTTTATTGGGGAATTGGGGGGATAGGAAGAGTGCTGGGGAATTGGGAGAAGGGGAACAGACAAGTTGCTGTTGTTTTGTTCTTCAGTCTAGTTGTGGAGGACGTTGCTTCACTGGCCCAAGTTGGCC